CAACAAAAATGGCAGGTAAATGATTCATTATTACCTAGGTTGTTCCAGAAAGTGCTCAATATAGCTTGACATATGGGTGCATAAGATTGGTTGAGGGAAACAAGAAAGGGAGGACGGAGGATAAAAGGCAAGATGAAGGCAAAGGCAACACAAAATTCATGCTAGGAGGACTGACCCATTGGCATCAGGTGGGTCACAAATTTGGGGATATTTTCTAGTGCACTAAGTAAGACAACTGAATTTAATGGTCACATGTATTTAAGAAATATTTACGTCGTTCACAAGAGAAACAAAATGATCCATGAAACTGAGTTTAAAGAGTAATATCTCCCATGAGTTCTCATAAAGGAGACACTGTATTATGTAACATCCTTTTAGTAAATAAAGCAGTGAGTTATATAACTTGGCAAAAACAAAACTTTACAGGAAGCCAATTTGCTACATGCTAGCTATACTGATCTCTGCTGCTATTGCTTTAGAGGAAATAATAAACTTTATATCTCTCAGGCAATCATTAATAAATGTAATTTCCTCAACTGACATTTTTATAACTAGTTTGTAGTGGTAAGCTTAAGAAGAAACCAAAGTTCAGCTATTCTGTTGAGATAAAATGTAGAAATGTTGTGTTAACATTCAGGCCAGCTGGAAATAGAAATAATATACTTTCATGAAAGTTGAAGACTCTGACAAAAGCGAATACTGAAAGTGAGGCTCTTTCTCCTCTGCCTGAAGAAGGGCTGAGAAAAAATTCTTGGGCTGGGTCAACACATTCCTCAAACAGAGGTTTGGGGTCTGCTGAAGCACACGGACAAATGGAGAATCAGAGCCATGAGGTTCTACTTCATAGAGCATGGCCATAGTTACTTTATTTTTTATTTTATTTGTTTCTTAGTTTAGTGTGGAAAAATATATTAAATTATGCTGTTATGTTGTGTTGTGTTATATATAACTGCTTTACTTAGAAAATCTCTGTGAAATTCTTTAGAGTAATATAACCTCCCAGTGTTTTCTCCAAGATAAACTGTTTGCAACATAAATATCTAGATAATGGATTTCATTTGCTCAGAGAATTAAACATAAGCTGGTTAATAGTTTAGTGTGGTGGGGAGTGTGGGTGGGAAGAGGTTTCACCAATTCTTTAAATAGTTAAATAGAAGGATCAATTCTTAAGACTATCCCTGATGTTTGAAGGTGTCATCCATAGAAAACTGAATGCTTCAACTTACCAAAGAATTAATTAGTGATTATAGATTGCTTAATTACCTCATGGAATAGCTTCTAATTATCCAAAAAAAAAAAAAAAAAAAAAAAAAAAAAAAAAACCAAAAAACAAAAAACAAAAAACCACTTCTACTGCATTTATAAAATCAAAATAACTTGGAATCTATTTCAAGGTCAAACCACACTATATCTCATATCTCTTTAGGGATTTAAAAGTCATGCAAAGTCAATAAAGAACACAATATTTTAACTATTTTCTGAACTTTATCTACAAGAAGATAAATTTTAAAAAGTGGTTGCTGGGTGACTCACTATTGTTGCCATTTTCTTAGGTAGAATATTGATCTGAAAAGTCCAGGCTTCCCATGTATGAATAAAGAAGGTTATACAGGTATTTTAGATGGAATGCCTACTAATCTAAAAACCTGGAGGTCAGGGCACCTGGGTGGCTCAGTTGGTTGTGTCTGAGTCTTGATTTCAGCTCAGGTTATGACCTCATGGTCATGAGACTGAGCCCTGGGTTGGGCTCTATGCTGGGTGTGGAACCTACTTGAGATTCTCTCTCTCCCTCTGCACTCCCCCCCCACTTGCTATAAACAAACAAACAAACAAACAAACAAATAAATAAATAAATATCTGGAGTCAATAGTTGCCCTTGAAAATAGGATAAACTATACTTTGCATCCAGCCAGCAGGACTGTCCCATAGAGTTAATGAAGGTCTTTGAATAGTTCTGGTAAATCTAGTAGTAAATCTTCAGCAGATGCTTTATTTACTTGAGATTCTTTAAATTGGCTCTAGAATAGGGGCACCTGGGTGGCTCAGTCGGTTGAGCGTCCGACTTTGGCTCAGGTCACCATCTCACGGTCCGTGACTTCAAGCCCCGCGTCGGGCTCTGGGCTGATGGCTCAGAGCCTGGAGCCTGCTTCCGATTCTGTGTCTCCCTCTCTCTCTGACCATCCCCCGTTCATGCTCTGTCTCTGTCTCAAAAATAAATAAACGTTAAAAAAAAATAATAAATTGGCTCTAGAATATACTGGACTATGATTAAGATCAGGGAACAAGTTTGGATCCATACAAGGATAGCTGAATTTAGAGATGAGAAGACAAGACAATTTGTGTCCATCTGGATGTAAACATCTTCCAAATTAATTCTTATTTAAGATTTTCTGACAGATCTATTTTTATTGAGTTTCAAATAGTTATTATTTCAAATAAATATTATTTAAACATTATAAAACAAAAAGGATCTCTTCTGGCTTTAATTTCACATATAGACATGCAAATTTGGCCAATCTTTTCTCCCTTTTTGTCCTACCTATGGGGCAAAATATTTGAAGTTTCATAGATATGTCAGCACATTTATGAATGGCTAGATTTCTGCAATCTAAAAGGAAAAGACTACAATTTGCCAGTTTCCGACTTCTTCCCTCTCATAAATGAGATGGTTTTGGTAGCTTCACTCATTCTTTAAGGACAATAAAATGGGATGAAGTGACAAAAATCTCTAATAACTAGTCCTATCAAAATGCCAACATGACTGTAACTCAAGTTAATCAAACTGAAATTGAGGTAAAAGATAACTTGACCTGAGGGAAAATTTTATAACACACAGGGAAAATGGAAAGCTATAAAGGGAAGTAGGAAAACAAATATGGAATAAAGGAAAACACTTACTCTTTTTAGTTAGTTTGGGGAGAAGAATGATGGGGCTAAATGACACTGGCATTTATATCTTTATGATTACAATGCAGTGTGTTTCCCCTAGAAATAAGTACTAATGGGTTTATAAACTCAAGACTATAATCAAGATACAAAAAAGAAAGAATTTCTGGACCATAAGAACCGCTCACCCTTGGTCTTATTTTCTGAGACCTCATGCACTTCCCTTTCAAGAAGGCCCTTAAATATTCTCCTGTGTTGGAAGTGGTGGTATGATGCCACCTGATGGCAAGGGACAACCAGGGGCAGATGGAAGGGAACTAACAATTCTTGGGCACCTATTTGGTGCCAGTCTGTGCTACAGGCTCTACACAAGCAATCTTATTAAATCCTCAAAATAAACATGAAGCCCCGGAGAATTTAGCATTGCAGAGGTCAGAAAACTTTACACATTTAGAGAAGGACAGAGAGCTGAACTCATCCTGGGCTGGTGTGATGCCACACGTCATGCCTTTCCTCTATGTCACGCTTCTTTCCAGGGATGACATAGGAGTGCATTTGAATGCTCACATCTCTTTCAGAAGAAGTTAACCGTTCATCTGAACCAACAGTTACATTTAATAAGAAAATTTTAAAGTCTTCTATTTGAAAATAAACATTCCTGAAACTCGACCACTTTCTTACACCATTCACGAGAATAAACTCAAAATGGATGAAGGACCTGAATGTGAGACAGGAAACCATCAAAACCCTAGAGGAGAAAGCAGGAAAACACCTCTCTGACCTCTGCTGCAGCAATTTCTTACTTGACACATCTGCAAAGGCAAGGGAATTAAAAGCAAAAATGAAGGAACTCACAAAGATAAAAAGCTTCTGCACTGCAAAGGAAACAATCAACAAGACTAAAAGGCAACCGATGGAATGGGAAACAATTCTTGCAAATGACATATTGGACAAAGGGCTAGTATCCAAAATCTATAAAGAACTCACCAAACTCCACACCCAAAAAACAAATAATCCAGTGAAGAAATGGGCAGAACACATGAATGGACACTTTTCTAAAGAAGACATCCAGATGGCCAATAGGCACATGAAAGATGCTCAACGTCACGCCTCATCACGGAAATACAAATCAAAACAACACTGAGATACCACCTTACGCCAGTCAGAGTGGCTAAAATGAACAAATCAGGAGACTATAGATGCTGGCGAGGATGTGGAGAAACGGGAACCCTCTTGCACTGTTGCTGGGAATGCAAACTGGTGCAGCCGCTCTGGAAAACAGTGTGGAGGTTCCTCAAAAAATTAAAAATAGATCTACCTTATGACCCAGCGATAGCACTACTAGGAATTTACCCAAGGGATACAGGAGTGCTGATGCATAGAGGCACTCGTACCCCAATGTTTATAACAGCACTTTCAACAATAGCCAAATTATGGAAAAAGCCTAAAAGTCCATCAACTGATGAATGGATAAAGAAGATGTGGTTTATATATACAATGGAATACTAC